CTGAGACCCCGTTTTAGTATCACCTTTTTCCTGAATCTGTTTTCTGAAGTCTCAGTTTCCATCATGACATGAGAAATCAGATTCACCTACCGTCTCACATCACCCGAGCACCCGTCAGCTCTGTCCAGTCTCGGTTCATACTCAATATTTATTGATTCATCTTCAGCCGGTTGAACTTTTATCTGCTGTGATAAACGTACAATACAGTTTCTGATTTGTATATATCCTCTCAGGCATCAGTGCATAAACAAAAAGCTCTTAGTGACAAGAGAAAAAGTTCTGGTTCTGTTCAACGTTTCGTCACCTCGACCGTCTGCAAGAGTAAAGCTAACATATCAGCCAATGGAGCGAAATTCCAGATTCTGATGCCTCTTTCAAGGCGTTTTCAGGACTTTTCAATCACTGCATTGCAGAATTCCAGGGTTTCCAGGACGTTCAGCGTGCTGAGGCTCATATGATGAGAGTATCGGGGCCACTGGTGGGAAAATAAATATATCTGATGACTGAGAGTTTCGTTTTAATGTTTCCAAGACAATCAGAATAAAATGAGTTGCTTCGGGTGCAAATTGTCGTCCCGGACCGTCCGGCCCGCTGTGAAGAAGACAACTTCTTAACTTATTGGTGAAAACTAACTTCAAATATTAAAAGTTTTTCGACTTTATTCTGAATATATTAGTTCTAACATGACAGGCTGAGACTCTGGGACAACGAGACATGCGGCGGACCGTTTTCTTTCAGGCTTATATTCCTGCGGCACGTACTTCGGTTTCAACAAAGTACAGAAGAACGTTCCTTCTTGTCTTTTACACTTTTTCCACCCGGTGCCTCCTCAGACTGAGTCTTGAAGCAGAATCCGTCTCCCGGTTCAGCATCTGGGGCGATCCTCTCAGTGCAGCGGCGGCAGACGGATCACTTGCGGCCGTATCCGGGCAGAGGCAGCGTCTGACCCTCCTTGGCCTCGAAGAAGGTGTAGGAGAGTGTGATGGTGTCCACTCGGGCCATCCGGGGGTCCTCATCGAACTCCGGGTCGATGTAGAAGAAGACGGGCATGTCCACCTCCTCGTGAGGGTTCAGACGCTGCTCCTCGAAGCAGAAACACTGCGGAGAGGACGGAGAAGCACGTGTTTAACGTAAACTAGAGGCGCCTCGTGACCTGGAACAGGCCTCGTGGACTTGTTATGATGTGGACTGGAGGAACCAGCGGCCGGTAGACTAACCTGGATCTTGTTGAAGTACTGTCCCGCCTCAAAGGGCACCACGTTGTAGGTGGAGATGCCCACGATGGGTTTGTCTGTGGGGTTCTTTGCTCTGTAGAAAGCCAGCGCCGTCTCACCTGGAACCACCTGCACAACAAACATCAGCTCAAACCTCCAGTTACACCAGACCTGAATCAGCACCAGACCAGGTCTGGGGCTGTGTTCACTGACTGCAGTTAATCAGAGCTCTGCAAGTTTGGTTTCGGGAAGGGGACGTTAATCAAGGCATTTAACAACTAGACTGGTTTCTGCTGGTTTTGGGTTTTTGCATCATTTGACTTAAATGAACACTAAAATGTTATCACGAAAATAACATTTGATAATTATCACGATAAATGTTAAATCATCATTTTCTTCAAGTGTAAAGGTTGATTTTTGAAGTGAAAGTTGAAGAATACAGATGGTTAATCGTGTGATTAAACTTTTCTTTACGGTCAGAATGTGACAAACATTTGAGGCCAAACATCGGATCACTTCACACATCTGAGGTAGAACCTTCAAAACTATTATGAGTAAATCTTTTTTTAGTCCATTTTTCTCAACAAAATTAATTCATTTGTGATTCAAATTAATCAATTCAAACATTTATTGACGATATATTGAATATTAGTTAAATTGTTATTGAGGAAATTATGTTGCGATAATTATCATTATTGTTTTATTGCCCAGCCCTAATTTGACTTGTGGATGTCAGAAAATAAGACGCTTTTTCAACCATCCGACAAACCGCAGTGCTTTTACTTTGTTTGCAAGTGGCCGGTTTGAGGGATTTAAGGGAACGTGTCGCGTTCTTGTTCTTGTGTGTCGAACCTTCTCTTTGGTACAAATTAAATTCCAGTCATGTACTGACAGCATCTCCACACTATAACGTCTTCATTCAAACCCAGATTTAGGGTGAGAATATAAAAAGGGACCTGAGAAAGGAGGGACCAGGTCTTACAAAGATCTCCGTCTGCTGCGGTTTGAAGTTCCACTGCATGCTGGCGTGACGGTCGGCGTTGAAGGTGATCTTGAGGACGCGTTCCTTCACCGGTTTCATCGTCTCCACCAGATCTGCGTCGTGGCCGGCCACCGCCGTGCCGCCGAGCCCCGACGCCTGACAGACAGAAACACAGTGGTCACGCCTGCAGGCTGGAGGTTACCCGGAACAGGAAGTCGTTTTTTTTTGTCCTCACCTGGCAGTAGAGCCTGTAGAGCGGCACTGCAGCGTACGACAGGCCGATCATCCCCACCCCGGCGGCGGTGATGTACGTCAGCACCGTCTTGTTCCTGGTTTTCCACGCCTCCTCCTGGCTCTCGGACTTCCTGTTTTGGCTCTTGGCGCCCCGGCTCTGTGTGCTGAAGCGCAGGGGAAGCCTCCGCCGCAGGAAGTGCTCAGCCTGAGAGTGCAGCGTCCTCGCAGTGTCGCAGCGAAGAGTCCAGACGCATCGTGTTAACAACTGAGGGCAGCAGAGGGGCTGACGTACCAGGAGGTGGAGCAGCATGGCTGGTGCTGCAGTCACCTGACGCTGGGTCAGCTGGAGGAAACTCACCTGGAGGGAGGACAAACACATTCAGTCAGCTCAGACTTTCCATTTACTTTAGTTTTTACATAGACAAATAGTGGTTAAGTTTGTTAGATGTAAAGTAGGGCAGCATCTAATTATTAATTTAATTAATTAATCTTTTGGTCTATAACATGAAACAAATTCTAAGACAAGAACAACAAATTCTGACATTTAAGAAGCTGGAACCATCAAATGTTTGTTATTTTGGCGAAACAAATTACCTAAGTAGTTGATTTTTCTGTTGATTAACTTAATTCATTGACTAATCGCTGCAGCCAATACATTATAATCTGCAAGTGACAATATAAAACCAGACTCCGTTTGAAAAAGTTACACTTTAATACCTCCTTGCTTACCAACATGTAACATGCCTGTTGTAATAAGAATAAATATATTCCCCCAAACTTGCTAACACTAACGCTTCAATTCGGCCTATATGACTCGCTCTCTAAGCTGCAACTCTTTCTGTGCAAATCGGGTTGGAAATATTGATAACCCTCTCAAACAGCGGCCTGTGGGCAGCCACTACTTACTTTTATGAACGTGTATTTTAACCATGTTGTGTGTTCTGGGTGGATCACATATATGCCGAATTTGCCAGCGAACACTGGCGATTCTGAATATGTCTCCAGTCATATTATACTATGCATGTCCGCGTGCCAAAACACCAACACATCTTAATTTCTCCAGTTTTTAATCGACGTTTGCAGGTTTGTATTTTAACCATAGTATAAAGCACTGAGCAGTTATCGGGGCAACATATTTAACTTTCAGTTTAGCTTAATTTAGACTGATTGAACAAGTTGTCACATTTAAATAGTCATTATGTAGCTCAGGTGAGTTGACCTACTGTGTCCAGGTGTCTCCACGTCTGTCTGCTGGCTAAGCTAACGGTAGCATGCTAGCGGAACTATTAGAAACAATAAATAAACACTGTTTATTTAGTTAAAAATACTCTTTAACACGCGGATACCTTCGAAGAGGAGCTCCGCTGTCTCACGTTCACCGCTGGACAGCAGCACTGCCGGAAAGACACATACATAACATGGGTGCACCACGGAATTAACTCCCTATAAGAGCAAAGCGCAAAAGGTTCCGCACAGGTGAAAATACACGCTACAAAATCACATGATTAGCTTTATTCATTTATTATTCATTTATTATTAAATATAAATGCTGTTTATAACTGCCAACTTCATGTATATAAAGTAATCTATTAAATTACCCGTTTAATAGTTTTTCCTTTATACTATTTGTTTACAATTTACAGAAACATATAGACATGTTGCTGCTCAGAGTTGCTTGCTATATATGTTTATATATATACACACACAATTATTTTTCCACAAAGTATTTGTATATGTATTAAATGGTTCTTTGTTTTTCTGTGTTCAGCTTTGTTGTCCTTGTTTTTACTTCTTTGTTTCCATCTTTCTGCATGTACTGTGCAAACTTTCTGATTCTACAAGCATCTCTAAAGCTAATTAATATGTTGCAGTTAATGATTATTTTCTCACTTGATTGATTTTCAAAACTCTGAAAACAGTGGCAAATGCCAGTTACCCAGAGTCCAAACTGATGCCAACACAATGTTTTCTTTGTCTAACAGCACAAAGCTCAACAGTGTTAAAAATAAATTAAAATAATTAAAAGGGAATTTATACATCCCACATTAAAATGTTTATACAAATATCAAAGTTGTTGCCAGTTAGTCTCAATGTCAGTCTAATAATACAAATACCTCAATTTGTACTGCAGTATATGTACTTAATTACTGTCCATCTTTGATTATTAGTATTTGTCCACTAGTCACATGTAACTCTAGTAAACTGTCCACACAGTCCTATCTTTATTTTTCTATATTTTCAAAAATCGTTATTATCATGATCATTATTATCACTACAACGATTTATTAATTACACTTCTGCCAAATGATTCTGTAGTACACCTAATTTAATTGTATTTATTTTTTATATATTTTATACATAATTATTATCATTGTTGTTGTTGTTGTTATTATTATAACTATTTATTATAATTAGTCTTTATTTTATTGAATGAAATGAAATTTAATTTAATTTAATTTTAATTAAATTTGTATATTACGCATTTTATAGTAATAACTTATATTATTATTATTGTTGTTGTGTCTTTTATTTTTATTTTCTGTTTCTCTCTGCAACCAGCCCTACGGAACAGGACCTACGGTGGCCGTGCGAGGTAAAAAGCGCGCAGGCAGCCCGTTCGGAGGGGCTGTAGTAATGGAGGGGGTCACAGTCGGCCAGGTATTTGACGCGGAATGCATCCTCAGCAAACGGCCGAGAAAGGTAAGAAACCGCCGCCCGCGGCCCCGGGGGCCGCCGCTCCGGACCCGGACCCCTTCCTCTGCGTGTCCCTCACGGTTCTTTGTCTCTCCCGCAGGGCAAGTTTGAGTATCTGGTGAAGTGGAGAGGGTGGTCGTCCAAGTAAGTACGCTAGCTAGCATCCTGCGCTAGCCGCCGCGGCTAACGACACATAACAGCAGCTCATAACACTGAAACAGCGGACAAAGCCCGAATCTGCGGCCGAGCTCTGAGCTCCTGGGCCGGATCTGTAGCTTCACTACGGGAGGGGGACTTCCAGGGTTCACTTTGATACACACGATGGAGAACAGACAGCGGTGCAGCCATTACTGCTCTTATTGTACTGCGAGCAGCTGATGCTAGAGCCAACAGCGGACCTGCAGGGTCCACATCAGACCAGTAACAGGCTGCAGGGTCCACAACAGACCAGTAACAGGCTGCAGGGTCCACAACAGACCAGTAACAGGCTGCAGGGTCCACATCAGACCAGTAACAGGCTGCAGGGTCCACATCAGACCAGTAACAGGCTGCAGGGTCCACAACAGACCCGCAACAGGCTGCAGGGTCCACATCAGACCAGTAACAGGCTGCAGGGTCCACATCAGACCAGACCAGTAACAGGCTGCAGGGTCCACATCAGACCAGACCAGTAACAGGCTGCAGGGTCCACATCAGATCAGACCAGTAACAGGCTGCAGGGTCCACATCAGACCAGTAACAGGCTGCAGGGTCCACATCAGATCAGACCAGTAACAGGCTGCAGGGTCCACATCAGACCAGTAACAGGCTGTAGGGTCCACATCAGATCAGACCCACAACAGGCTGCAGGGTCCACATCAGACCAGACCAGTAACAGGCTGCAGGGTCCACATCAGACCCGACCAGTAACAGGCTGCAGGGTCCACATCAGACCAGACCAGTAACAGGCTGCAGGGTCCACATCAGACCAGACCAGTAACAGGCTGCAGGGTCCACATCAGACCAGACTAGTAACAGGCTGCAGGGTCCACATCAGACCCGACCAGTAACAGGCTGCAGGGTCCACATCAGACCAGACCAGTAACAGGCTGCAGGGTCCACATCAGACCAGTAACAGGCTGCATGGTCCACATCAGACCAGTAACAGGCTGCAGGGTCCACATCAGACCAGTAACAGGCTGCAGGGTCCACATCAGACCAGACTAGTAACAGGCTGCAGGGTCCACATAAGACCCGCAACAGGCTGCAGGGTCCACATCAGACCAGACCAGTAACAGGCTGCAGGGTCCACATCAGACCCGACCAGTAACAGGCTGCAGGGTCCACATCAGACTCACAACAGGCTGCAGGGTCCACATCAGACCAGTAACAGGCTGCAGGGTCCACATCTGACCCACAACAGGCTGCAGGGTCCACATCAGACCAGACCAGTAACAGGCTGCAGGGTCCACATCAGACCAGTAACAGGCTGCAGGGTCCACATCAGACCAGACCAGTAACAGGCTGCAGGGTCCACATCAGACCAGTAACAGGCTGCAGGGTCCACATCAGACCAGACTAGTAACAGGCTGCAGGGTCCACATCAGACCCGACCAGTAACAGGCTGCAGGGTCCACATCAGACTCACAACAGGCTGCAGGGTCCACATCAGACCAGTAACAGGCTGCAGGGTCCACATCTGACCCACAACAGGCTGCAGGGTCCACATCAGACCAGACCAGTAACAGGCTGCAGGGTCCACATCAGACCAGTAACAGGCTGCAGGGTCCAGACCAGACCAGACCAGTAACAGGCTGCAGGGTCCACATCAGACCAGTAACAGGCTGCAGGGTCCACATCAGACCAGTAACAGGCTGCAGGATCCACATCAGACCAGTAACAGGCTGCAGGGTCCACATCAGACCAGACCAGTAAAAGGCTGCAGGGTCAACATCAGACCAGTAACAGGCTGCAGGGTCCACATCAGACCAGTAACAGGCTGCAGGGTCCACATCAGACCAGTAACAGGCTGCAGGGTCCACATCAGACCAGTAACAGGCTACAGGATCCACATCAGATCAGTAACAGGCTGCAGGGTCCACATCAGACCAGTAACAGGCTGCAGGATCCACATCAGACCAGTAACAGGCTGCAGGGTCCACATCAGACCAGTAACAGGCTGCAGGGTCCACATCAGACCAGACCAGTAACAGGCTGCAGGATCCACATCAGATCAGTAACAGGCTGCAGGATCCACATCAGACCAGTAACAGGCTGCAGGGTCCACATCAGACCAGTAACAGGCTGCAGGGTCCACATAAGACCCGCAACAGGCTGCAGGGTCCACATCAGACCAGACCAGTAACAGGCTGCAGGGTCCACATCAGACCAGACCAGTAACAGGCTGCAGGGTCCACATCAGACCAGTAACAGGCTGCAGGGTCCACATCAGACCAGTAACAGGCTGCAGGGTCCACATCAGACCAGTAACAGGCTGCAGGATCCACATCAGACCAGACCAGTAAAGGCTGCAGGGTCCACATAAGACCCGCAACAGGCTGCAGGGTCCACATCAGACCAGACCAGTAACAGGCTGCAGGGTCCACATCAGACCAGACCAGTAACAGGCTGCAGGGTCCACATCAGACCAGACTAGTAACAGGCTGCAGGGTCCACATCAGACCAGTAACAGGCTGCAGGATCCACATCAGACCAGTAACAGGCTGCAGGGTCCACATCAGACCAGTAACAGGCTGCAGGATCCACATCAGACCAGACCAGTAAAAGGCTGCAGGGTCAACATCAGACCAGTAACAGGCTGCAGGGTCCACATAAGACCAGTAACAGGCTGCAGGGTCCACATCAGACCAGTAACAGGCTGCAGGGTCCACATCAGACCAGACCAGTAACAGGCTGCAGGGTCCACATCAGACCAGTAACAGGCTGCAGGGTCCACATAAGACCAGCAACAGGCTGCAGGGTCCACATCAGACCAGACCAGTAACAGGCTGCAGGGTCCACATCAGACCAGACCAGTAACAGGCTGCAGGGTCCACATCAGACCAGACCAGTAACAGGCTGCAGGGTCCACATCAGACCAGTAACAGGCTGCAGGGTCCACATCAGACCAGACTAGTAACAGGCTGCAGGGTCCACATAAGACCCGCAACAGGCTGCAGGGTCCACATCAGACCCGACCAGTAACAGGCTGCAGGGTCCACATCAGACCCGACCAGTAACAGGCTGCAGGGTCCACATCAGACTCACAACAGGCTGCAGGGTCCACATCAGACCAGTAACAGGCTGCAGGGTCCACATCTGACCCACAACAGGCTGCAGGGTCCACATCAGACCAGACTAGTAACAGGCTGCAGGGTCCACATAAGACCCGCAACAGGCTGCAGGGTCCAGTTCAGACCAGACCAGTAACAGGCTGCAGGGTCCACATCAGACCAGTAACAGGCTGCAGGGTCCACATCAGACCAGACTAGTAACAGGCTGCAGGGTCCACATCAGACCCGACCAGTAACAGGCTGCAGGGTCCACATCAGACTCACAACAGGCTGCAGGGTCCACATCAGACCAGTAACAGGCTGCAGGGTCCACATCTGACCCACAACAGGCTGCAGGGTCCACATCAGACCAGACCAGTAACAGGCTGCAGGGTCCACATCAGACCAGTAACAGGCTGCAGGGTCCAGTTCAGACCAGACCAGTAACAGGCTGCAGGGTCCACATCAGACCAGTAACAGGCTGCAGGGTCCACATCAGACCAGTAACAGGCTGCAGGATCCACATCAGACCAGTAACAGGCTGCAGGGTCCACATCAGACCAGACCAGTAAAAGGCTGCAGGGTCAACATCAGACCAGTAACAGGCTGCAGGGTCCACATCAGACCAGTAACAGGCTGCAGGGTCCACATCAGACCAGTAACAGGCTGCAGGGTCCACATCAGACCAGTAACAGGCTACAGGATCCACATCAGATCAGTAACAGGCTGCAGGGTCCACATCAGACCAGTAACAGGCTGCAGGATCCACATCAGACCAGTAACAGGCTGCAGGGTCCACATCAGACCAGTAACAGGCTGCAGGGTCCACATCAGACCAGACCAGTAACAGGCTGCAGGATCCACATCAGATCAGTAACAGGCTGCAGGATCCACATCAGACCAGTAACAGGCTGCAGGGTCCACATCAGACCAGTAACAGGCTGCAGGGTCCACATAAGACCCGCAACAGGCTGCAGGGTCCACATCAGACCAGACCAGTAACAGGCTGCAGGGTCCACATCAGACCAGACCAGTAACAGGCTGCAGGGTCCACATCAGACCAGTAACAGGCTGCAGGATCCACATCAGACCAGTAACAGGCTGCAGGGTCCACATCAGACCAGTAACAGGCTGCAGGATCCACATCAGACCAGACCAGTAAAAGGCTGCAGGGTCCACATAAGACCCGCAACAGGCTGCAGGGTCCACATCAGACCAGACCAGTAACAGGCTGCAGGGTCCACATCAGACCAGACCAGTAACAGGCTGCAGGGTCCACATCAGACCAGACCAGTAACAGGCTGCAGGGTCCACATCAGACCAGTAACAGGCTGCAGGATCCACATCAGACCAGTAACAGGCTGCAGGGTCCACATCAGACCAGTAACAGGCTGCAGGATCCACATCAGACCAGACCAGTAAAAGGCTGCAGGGTCAACATCAGACCAGTAACAGGCTGCAGGGTCCACATAAGACCAGTAACAGGCTGCAGGGTCCACATCAGACCAGTAACAGGCTGCAGGGTCCACATCAGATCAGACCAGTAACAGGCTGCAGGGTCAACATCAGACCAGTAACAGGCTGCAGGGTCCACATAAGACCAGTAACAGGCTGCAGGGTCCACATCAGACCAGACCAGTAACAGGCTGCAGGGTCCACATCAGACCAGACCAGTAACAGGCTGCAGGGTCCACATCAGATCAGACCAGTAACAGGCTGCAGGGTCCACATCAGACCAGTAACAGGCTGCAGGGTCCACATCAGATCAGACCAGTACCTGAATCTATCAAACAGGAGATTAATCCTGACCAGCTTTGTGAAAACGTCCCTTTAAAACAGTTTTTCTGGTGTTTTCAGGCACAACAGTTGGGAGCCAGAAGAAAATATTCTGGACCCGAGGCTCCTGGCGGCGTTTCACAAGAGGTGCGTGTTGGTTTGATATCTGTGTTTGTAACAGCTGATAAACAGAGATCCTCTAGATTCAGCAGAGGGCGCTCTGCAAATAACCAAACAATAAATCCCATCATGCACTGAAACAGCTAACAGCTGTGACAGCGAGGATGTCCCGGACTGATGAGAGACGTGATGTCACTATAAAATAAAATGAGCAAACTGTTGAAATCACAGCCTTGCAATGTTAATAATTAATGAATGAATGAATATTCTTAACTTGTTTTTACAATCTCTCAGGTTTATATTGAAAAACAAAAAGTTGTTGATGATTGAAATGGATCGTGTGTCCCTAACTCCTCCTGCAGTAACAGACGTTCACTTCTTAGCGTTGCGAACTGCATCGTCATCTTTGGTGATTTTGAGTTGATCCAAACTGAAACGGCCAAATTGGCCTGCAGGCCACGGGAATTTGGCCCGGCTCTCCCGATGGCCAGTCCGCCACTGATGAGTACCGACACTTTTCAGTTCTCGTGACCACCGATACATCTGATCTAACATCCTCAGATATCAGTCCCACATCGGCTGCGCTCTATTTTTCCATGTGACGTTTTTTACAACCATCTAAAAACAGAAAATCCTGTGTTTGATAAATGACTTAAAGGATGAAGCAATTAAACAATAACACATCAAAAATGCTAAGAATGAAATTCATATTGAAAACCAGAGCTTTCAGCCAGATGAAAGGGCTGAGCGGGGGGTCACAGCCAGACTCTGTGGACCAGTTTAAAGTTGTCGTGTGTTTTTGAAAGATTGTGTAAATGTGTTTTTAGAGAACAAGAGCGGGAGCTTCTGTTCCAGAAGAAAGGAAAGAGGCCGAGAGGACGTCCGCGGAAGATTCTGGTAATTCCTCTCGACGTTTCACTTGTTGTGACGCAGCAAGACGTTTCGCTCATTCTTCTTCTTTCTCTTTGTAGCCGCCTGAGCCAGCTGCTATAAAAGACAGCCGCTCCTCATCCTCTTCTTCCTCTGTTCTTTCATCATCGGCCTCCTCGTCTTCCTCAGAGGATGAAGAGCACACAAAGAAGGCGAAGCCCGGCCCTCGTGTCCACCCGGCCCCCCAGAAGAGGCCTCAGATCATGCTGGCCCAAGCAGATCCTCCACACAAGAAGAAGCGCGGGAGGAAGCCGCTCCACCCCGACCTGAGGGCTTTAAGACAAGCAAAGGGCAGACCGCTGGCGCCACCGCCGCTGCCGCCGCCTCCAACGGCTCCTCCACGTCACCACCAGGTGGTCAGAGCGCCCAGGGAGGAGCCTCGACCCGGGGTGAAGAAACCTCTGCAGCCGGCCAGCTTCACCTACACCGGGCTGAGCAGGAGCTCCAGAGAAGAGGCCGCCTCCGCCTCGCACACCTCCCCCAGCTCCTTCTCCCAGACAGCCGCCTCCAAACCCGGGTCCCTCAGCTGCATGTGGACCAGTCGCTCCATGTCTCCGTCCTCCGGCTCCTCCTCCTACAACAGAAGCAGCCCGTCCCCCCAAAGTAAGAACTCTCTGTCCGAGCTGAAGCGCTCCATCTCAGAAACGGGCAGCAGCAGAGCAGACGGCTTCAAGGCGTCTGCTCTGAAACAGGGTGGAGGTTCGGGGTCGTTGGGTTTACACAGCAGCTTCACGGGAGGCCAGGCGGTCCAGCGCTCCCCGCTGGGCCAGAGGAGGCAGGAGGGCGTCGGAGGTCAGACCGGGGTGGTCCAGCACAAGCAGCACTCCAGCCTTTCCAAACAGTCGTCCTCGCAGACGCCTCGGGACCGAGCCAACCAGGCGCTCAGCCTGCGAGCGCTCAACCTGCAGAGCGTCAGCAAGCCTCCGGCGGGCAGCAGCCTTCAGGGAAACAGCATGAGCGGCGGCGGAGCCGCGGCGTCCAGGTCCAGCTTAAGGAGTGGCGGCGGCATTGTTGTGAAAGGAGGTGTGGCGAGTATGAAAGAGATTCGAACCTCAGCCGGCGGGCAGCGCTCTGCTGTGGCAGCGGGCGGCGGCGCCGAGCAGGGGAGGTTACGGCAGGACAGGGGGAAGGAAGCATTGGCAGAGACTAAGAAGCTGGCGGGAAGCGGCTCCGGCCGAGGGAACGGCGGCGGGAGGCACGAGGACAGGAAGCACGGGCTCAGCTCTCAGAACCGGAGTCTGAACGAGCTCAGCACCGGCGACTCCGACGAGACCAGCAGCAGCGAATCGGAGCACGGCGCCTCCCTGTATCCAAACAACAGCAGGCCCAGCCTCGGCAACACAGAGTCTGACACGGAAACGGACTGGCGGCCGGCCCGGAGCCTCCTGGAGCACGTGTTCGTCACCGACGTCACGGCCAACTTCATCACGGTGACGGTGAAGGAGTCGCCGACCAGCGTGGGATTCTTCAATTCACGGAATCACTGAAGGACGTCAGCGATGGTGCCTCAGTCTGCAGAGCTGAGCGGACCGGACTGTCTAACCACGCCTCCTACAGCGGCGCTCAGGGTTCCTGCACCGCTCCGAGATTTCACTCTTTCAGCTCTTCATAGAAATGCACAAGTTAGGGAAACTCATCGCGTCCAAACAGACGATACAGCTTCTGTGGTTTCATCAACCCGGCGATGTTACATAAAGTAGGAGAAGACAAACACACAGAGGAGTGGGAACCCTGACGTTTAGACGCCGTTTACACCTGACATTAAAACGCAGTCTGTGTCCGGAGAAGGAAAAGTTCAAGGCCTGTTAGATTAAACGTCTGGGGTGGAGGTCATGGTGCTGAATGGAATCCAAGCTTCAGGTCAGATCTGTCAAATTGTTCCCCCTTCCATCTCAAAACAGTGGCGGTAAACGTATGTTGGTTTGTGGTACTGAACCTAAAATTTATACCAGACATAAAGTCCACGTTGCTCAGAATAATCCCCCAGATTTGTAGAAAGGAATATCTGGCTCTGAGAGATCTGTCGCCACCTCAATGTATGGCCTTTCTTTTTAAAGTGGAATTTAGTTTGTGGTTGGAGAAATTTAAAACTGGAAATCTTTTTTTCCCCTGAAATACGATCCAGTTGCTCAGAAAAACCACAGACCTCACTGAGGATAGCTGGTGGCATTAAATTCTAACATTTTTGAATGGAGTTTGGTTTGAGGTTGCTCTGTTGAAGGTTCGTTCTTTCCCTTGGATGCAGAACAATTTTCACACTCACGGTCCACTTACAGCTCTTTTTTTAAATTCAGATTTCAATTGCATGTGATGGTCACCGTGCTCAGTAGTCGCTATTTAAAAGCAACTAGTACTTTTACTTATTAGTTACTAGAATTATTCCCGTTTTACTAGTAACAACTGATTAGATACTATTACTTCATTTTTAGTGACTAATTGCACGTTTTTCCCATTAAAATCTACGGGGCTCTGCAGTTCAGATATCACCTGTAGTGTTAGTTACGAATAACTAACTGAATAGTTACTAATAACTATTTCCATTTACTAGTATTATTTAGATACTAGTACCTATTCAGTATTTACTAGTAACTGTTCCAAAAGATACTTGTAACTTTTTAATTCTTACTAGTAAAATGGAATAATTAGTAGTACCTAAAAATGAAGTACTAGTATCTAAATAATAGATACTAGTAAAATGGAAATAGTTTCTAGTAACTAATGAACAGGTCATATCTGAACTGCCTCGTTGATTTTAATGGGAAAAACGTGCAATTTAGTCACTAGTAACTAAAAATGAAGTACTAGTATCTAATAAATTTTTAACGGTAACATAAACAAAAATAGTTTCTAGTAAGTAGGGCTGAACGATTTTGGAAAATAATCTAATTGCGGTTTAAAAGGTGATTGATTTTTAAGTTCTTTACCTTCTGTATTATTCATAATGGAGAAGCAGTAAATCTGTGCAGTCTGACCAACACAATATTAGATAGATTACACACACCCTGTTCTTTCTTGTAGGTCAGGCCGTGTTATGATGAAATTAGGTGCTGCATGAATTATTAATATGAGCAGTGGTGGAGAAGAAATATTAAATTATAATAATATGAGAAAGATAATTTGAGAGTCAAGTCATGGCATTAAATAATATGATATAACATCATCAGGCCGGCCTACAGAGCACAAGAAAAACTAAGTTTGCTCAATACAAACCCCCACAGTTCAACCACCAATTAATGCGTCCTGATCTCAGGTCAGATCTCCCAGGAGTCCGTCTTTCTGTGTCCCAGTAAGCAAACAAAAAATACTCAGTTTGAGGTTGAATTCAAAAGCTGGCCAACGAAAATAAAACCAAGTGACGCCTCTTGTGTTTAATAAATGAGCTTAGTAATTCTACTACAAACACCGGAGCTCCCCGCAGCCTGCGATGCTGGTCAGCAGCTCTGGCTGTAACTCAGGACAGACCACCACGTAACCCGCGGGGGGCGGGCGCTACTTTCATTCCCTGTGTGACACTAAAGTTTCTGCTTCGTCTGCAGACTGGTTTAATTCTCGCGTGTCATGTGACCAGAGCGATAATATCGCAGATGCAATTAATCGTTAAGTAGCTGTTAAATGGCGACTAGTAAGTTTAAGGAGTAAATGTTACATCGGCTCGCCACAGTTACCACATAACTGCTAGTTGAAAGCCCCAAAAAAATATAATAAGAGGACCTTGAGTAAAGTTCCTAAATGAAAAGTGTTCAGATTTAGTAGCTGCTAATAAAAACTTGATCAAATCAAGTGACGAATTAATTAATCATTGCTGCCTGTAGTTCTTGGCTCAGTTTGCGTTTTATTGGAAGGTGTAAAAACGGGGTTTAAAAGCGACAGATGGATGTGCGACTCCACCTCCCCAGTGCCTCAGGTTCTTCCCAGAGACCACCGAGCCCACTGCCACCGTTCAGCAGCTTGTGATGATTAGTTTGAGTAGGACGTTTGTGCTTGTCGGACCTGTATCCAAACTAAATATGTGGCTTTATTCAGGGCAGCATGTTTAACAAAATATTCAAAACAAAACAAAAAAAAAGAAGTGAAGTCCGTCTGTGATCACTCAGTTTTCATCCATCCGGGTTTTTGTAATCGTCTTTCAGTTCTCTTTGGACCAAAGGTGTTACGAATGTGAATATTCTTGTTTTTAATTTGTGTTATTGACAGTATTCCTTGCACTACATACAGTATAAATGTAAGCTGATTTCTTGTCATCTCAAAAGAGACATTTCCATTCTCACCTATATTTACCAGTTTTATACCATTTTAATACATTTGCTGTCACAGTGTCTTTTGGAGTTGAAAATATCTGTTAATTTATATTTGTAAATATTTTTTTTTCATGTGATATCTGATATCTATCTGGTGCTCACATTGGCTTACTAGCTTCAGATACTTGTGCCTCTCTGCCATTTTGAAGGTATTTGAAATAAACCAGAAGTACCTAAAGATTGAAAACGTTCCTGTGTGGATTCTCTCCAGTATGCAGGTGTTCTGGGTTCTGCTGTTCACGTCTTCACCAGCAGGTGTTGCTGCAGGGCAGTAAGTGCAGCTTCTGTGTTTCTGGGCAGAAGAAGAATAGTCAGACCCACCTCCAGGTGTACTGTTGGTCTGTTTGTGATGGTGGATCAACGGAAAAATATTAAATCGCTGCAAAGGAACTGAGTCCCAGTTTAATACTGCAGATTAACAGAAGACCATATAAAAAGCATTTAGAAAACATGTCGATGAACCGAACAAACTTAATAATCCGTGCTTAATGAACCCAAACAAATTCACTGTGAATGGATTAGCAATCGAGTGGGCGGTTTAATAAATCCGTCTGCACCGTGACGGAAGGTAAAAATAAATGAAAATGGTTGTCCAGTAGAATAATTAAAGTTCAGTGGGAGGATTTATAAAATCAGCAAACAATTGCAGTTTTTCTCGATTGCTTAAACACATTTCTTGAAATTATGCCTTTACTCTAAACACAAATCCACAACTTGTCACCCAATTCCCCAAACATCCTATTTACACATTAAAATGAAGTTCTCACTCAAAACCATTCAAGCTTGCTGAAAATCCAAATTTTGCAGACATCACACACACGCCCTCAAAAACATATACTGAAAAACTGTACTACAAAAAAGTTTTAAAAAATGTTGCTTCATATAAAATTGGTGCAGTGTGACTTGTTCTGTTGGAACAACAGGAAGTGGTGACTCACTATCCTTATTATCACCATCCATCCATCCATCCATCATCAACTGCTTATCCTGCGTACAGGGTCGCAGGGGGGCTGGAGCCAATCCCAGCTGAAATTGGGCGAAAGGCGGAGTACACCTGGACAGGTCGCCAGTCCATCGCAGGGCTCATTACTAGTTATTATTATTAAATACTATTATCATCATCAGTTTCATTTTCATTACATACTATTATATTATTATCATCAGTTATCATTATCAATAGATATTATCATCAGTTATCATTATATATTGTTATCAGTTATCATTACATTACATACTATTATATTATTATCATCAGTTATCATTATCATTATATATTATCAGTTATCATTATTAGATATTATCATCAGTTATCATTATATATTATATCAATTCTCATTCTCATTATATATTATTATCAGTTATCATTATCAATAGATATTATCATCAGTTATCATTATATATTATCAGTTATCATTATCATTACATACTATTATATATTATCATCAGTTATCATTATCATTATATATTATCATCAGTTATCATTATTAGATATTATCATCAGTTATATATATTATATCAATTCTCATTATCATTATATATTATCATTATTATCATTAGATACTATTATATATTATTATCAGTTATCATTAGATACTATTATCATTATCATTATGTTATTATCATCAGTTATCATTATCATTACATACTATTATATATTATTATCATCAGTTATCATTATCATTAGATACTATTATATTATCATCAGTTATCATTATCATTACATACTATTATATATTATTATCATCAGTTATCATTATCATTAGATACTATTATATATTATCATCAGTTATCATTATCATATATTATATCAATTATCATTATCATTATATATTATATCAGCAGTTATGATTATCATTACATACTATTATATATTATCATCAGTTATTATTATCATTAGATACTATTATATATTATCATCAGTTATTATTATCATATATCAATTATCATTATTATATTATTATCATCAGTTATGATTATCATTACATACTATTATATATATCATCAGTTATCATTATCATATATTATATCAATTATCATCAGTTATGATTATCATTAGATACTATATATATTATCATCAGTTATCATTATCATATATTATATCAATTATCATTATCATTATATATTATTATCATCAGTTATTATCATTACATACTATTATATATTATCATCAGTTATTATCATTACATACTATTATATATTATCAGTTATTATTATCATTACATACTATTATATATTATCATCAGTTATTATCATTATACTATTATATATATTATCATCAGTTATGATTATCATTAGATACTATTATATATATCAGTTATTATCATTACATACTACTATATATTATTATCATCAGTTATCATTATACATATTATATCAATTATCATTATCATTAGATATTATTATCATCAGTTATCATTATCATTAGATTATTATCATCAGTTATCATTATCATTAGATACTATTACATATTATCATCAGTTATGATTATCATTACATACTATTATATATCATCAGTTATCATTATCATTAGATACTATATATATTATTATCATCAGTTATCATTATCATATATTATATCAATTATCATTATCATTAGATATTATTATCATCAGTTATGTTATCATTAGATACTATTATATATTATCATCAGTTATCATTATCATTACACTACTATATATTA